GGCACTTGGGTTGTTTCCAACTCCTTGCTATTGTGAACAAAGCAGCAATAAACATGGGTGTGCATATATCTGCTTGGGTGGCAGTTCTGGTTTCTGTAGGGTATATTCCCAGTAGTAGTACTGCTGGGTCAAATGGTATTTCTATTTCCAACGTTTTGAGAAAGTGCCATACTGCCTTCCATAGTGGTTGCACCATTTTACACTCCCACCAACAGTGAATAAAGGTTCCAGTTTCTCCACAAACTCGCCAGCATTTGTTGTTTGGCGCTCTGTTGAATTTAGCTATTGTTACTGGGGTGAGATGATATCTCATGGTTGTTTTTGATTTGCATCTCCCTTAGAGCTAGGGATTTTGAACATTTCTTCATGTGTTTGTTTGCCATCTCAATGTCTTCTTTGGTGAATGAAGTGTCTGTTCATATCCTATGCCCATTTTGCAATTGGGTGGTTTACTTTTATCTTGTTTGGTGGCATTGACTTTTCTGTGATCCTTATTCATGTCCAACTTTCAGATACACAGGAAGTAACTTCAAGTGCCTGTTCACCATGGGTGAGCACACTAGTGTGTGAAGTATGGGTGGCACAGCTTCTAGCATCACAGTAATATGCAGGCAACCGCCTAAGGCAAAGTGACAGATGAGTGGTGGAAAAACAGTTTACATTCTCATTCGCAGCAACTTCCTACTGCTGGTGTCACAGGTATTCTTTAAGATAAAAGAAATTATCTACATAATTCCTTCTGAGCCCTCACCCGCTTTGCCTTTGACGTTCATAAGCCTACCAACAGTCTCTTCAAGGTAAGAGGGGTTTTTACTACTGTTGTTATTAAGTGCCACTGAGTCAACTATGCACAACAGATCCTGCACCAGCCTCTTGATCTATGCCCCATTCAAGTCCACGGTTCAGGTCCTCTGTCTATCCATCTTATGGATGGATCTGTCTCTGAGCCTCTGTCTTTCCAGCATGATGATGTCTTTCCTGAGGACTGGCCCCTCCTGAAAACATGCCAGGAGTATGGGAGACAGTTGTCACCATAAATGCCTCTCTACCTCTTCCAATGTCCATCCACTGCTCAATTTCAAAGCTACTCTCACATCTGTTAGAGTAGCAGCATCCCCATGTTCTGATACTAAAGTCTGTCGCCATTATCTAGTGCTGCTATAACAGGAACACCAGGGGTGGGGGTGGGGAATTAATCAACAGAAATTGACCTCCTCAAACTTACGGAAGCTAGAAGTTTGAATTGTGAGTGTCAGCTCTAAGCGAAGGCCTTCTTCTCTCTGCCAGATTTGGAGGAAGGTCCTTGTCTCTGAGCTTATGCTGCTGGGTAATTTTTATACAGTATCTCTGTTCCCTCATCTCTGCTCAGCTGGCTTGTTAAATTTTTTTCCTACCTCTAAAGGGACTGGCACAAGACCTATTAATCCTGCTTCATTAACATAACAAAGACAACCTATTCTCCAAATAGAATTATAACCACAGACATGGAAGTTAGGATTTACAGCCTATTTTTGAGGATACAATTCAACTTATAACAAGGTCACTTTCCAGTTCTAAAATTCTGGTGGTGATGTAAGCAGCAATCATTATTATGTCTCCACTATCTGTTGCCTCAGTAAGTAAACCTCCTGTATAAAACAAAATCTATTAAATCTTCAACAACAACAGCATAAAAGACAATAACGCTTATACCTACCAAGTCAGCATCTAAGCCATAAAGACAGTGTCTGGTGTTTGGATCATGGTCTGGCTTTGCTTTCTCGGATCTGATGAATTCCATGATTTTATGCTCTCCTTCTCCGGGAGTCTGAATATAATGTTTAAAAGAATGTGATAAAGTGCTATATCTTAGAATATCAAACTTAGAAAATGTTTTAAAATAAAGTAATAAACAACTAGCCTCATGGCCTGAGAAGTAGATGGTGACTCCTTGCCATGACTTGTCTGTTGCAATCTTCATATTTACAAAATACTTGAGATGTTCATGCAGCCTGGCCATGAATTCAGTCCCTACAAAGAAAAAAAGTTTTAAAAAGTTTCACTGGTGAGACATAAAAACAGGGAGGTCCCAGTAACAACACAAAACTGGATCTATATTCAGTAACAGCTAGGTGTAAGATTTCTAAAGAAAGTCAAACGCTCGCCGGCTTATGCTGAACATCAAATCAAGTAAGCTTATACTGTTCAACAAGCATCACAATTCTTTCTCTCACTGGTTATCCTAAAACGAAGTCAAAGAGAAACAAGGAAAGTCAAGAGAGGTTACGACCTCACAACTGTGCTCCAGGTTCTTTTACAGGAGAGTGGAAAAGAAACCCCTACAGTGGGTGTGTAGAATAATATTTATGATCAAAGTGAGCAAGCAACTTCATGAGGAAATAAAATTGGCAAAACAAAGCAAATAACAAGCCCAAACTCTTCGGTAACCTTAATCTTCTATTTCCTGAGGAAAAAAGTTCTTGAATTTTTCTTTAAGGCATGTAGCTCAAACTGGATTACTAATAATAACAATAATAGTTGTTGCTGTTGTTATTGTTAAAAATTACTGGAAATTATCATTCTTTATCTGGAAACTCAGCCAAGAATGATATATTATGCTTTAGAAAAAACCCAGATGGTCAACGATCAAAAGTAATAGTCTTAAACCACAATCATGATAAACTACTTATGAAGCTGAAAGTCATTTTAAGTAAATGAAAAAGAGAATTACTGCATTTGGTAAACAACTTATAAGAAAGCAAGAGCTTGATTCTCCCCCCCTCCCAACAGGGAGAACTGTAATAATGTTAAGCAAAGTTCTCAGATGTATAGAGCATGTTGTTATGTAAAAACTAAGCTGATAATATGAATATATGTATTTGTCCTTAAAGTCACAGAAATTTTGTCTCAGAACAGGAAGTGCCCTGGGCCAGGAAACTGGGTTTCTTATCCCAAATACCACAAGCTAGCTAAAAGAATTCAGGTAAGCTGCCCAGGTTTTTGTATCAATAAAAAGCAGAAGAGCAGGTTGGAATGCTATAACTTTCTTCTAGGTCTGGAACTTCTTATCACCTGGGAAAGTTATAACTACTTTTATCAACATGTGTAAATCCCGGCAGTGGGCATATATAGGAGTGCTTATGGTCAAGGTGACCATCTTCTGATGTAATACAACTGAGAAAAACAGCAAAATAAACACCAAGGACACCAAGCCCTATATAAACAGCACCAAAAAAAAAATATATACTAAAAAATACCAGATTTTCAACTTAACGCTTTTAAGTTCTAAGAACTCTCTTCCTGGACTTACCTGGTGTAATGCAGTTGGAATCAAACCTGGCCTCTGAAGGAAGAGTTTCTCCCTTTTCTATTGCCTTTTTGATTTTATCTTCTGCTTCCTTTGCTGACCTTAAATATTATTGAAAAAAAATCTTTAAGTTTTCTTAAGGGAAATAATATTTTCATATACATAAACTTTGATTCAAGAAAGAAGAAATGTTTAACACTGTTAAATATTGCTCATAAATGTAAGATGTTGTTGTTAAGTGCCGTTGTGTCGCTTGCGATTCACAGCGACCCTCTGTACAACAGCCCTAAACTCTGTTCTGTCCTGTGCCAGTCTCACTGTCGCCGACACACTCATCCCGATTACCCAAGTCACCGAATCAATCCATCTCCTAGAGGGCCTTCCCCTCCTGTGCCTGTCATCCACCCTCCCAAGCATGATGTCCCTCTCCAAGGACTGGTTTCTCCTTACAACATGAACAAAGTATGTCAGACAAAGCCTCAGAATCCTTGCCTCCAAGGAACAGCCCGGTTTAACCTCTCCAAGATGAATCTGTTTGTTTTTCTATCAGTCCATGGTACCCTCAAAGCTCTTCTCCAACACCAAAGCTCAAGGGCATCAATTCTCCTTCTATCCTTCCTAGTCATTGTCCAACTCTCTGACGCAAACATGTGATTACAAAGACCATGGCCTGTATCAGGCGTACTTTAGTCTCCAGAGAGACACCGTCGCTCTTCAGTACTTTATAGAGGTCCCTAATAGCAGACTTTCCGATCGTAATATGTCTTTTAATTTCCTGGCAACTGGTGCCAAGAGTGTTGTGCAGCCAAGCAGACTAAAGCTGTGAACAATCTCAATCTCTTCACCATCCATCCTGATGCTGCCACTTGGTCCAGTAGTGAGTATCTTGGTCTTCTTGACATTGAGCCTCAATCCATATTGAAGTCTGCAGTCTTTGACCCTCTGCAGCAAGTGCATGAGGTCCTCCTCAGTTTCAGCAAGCAGGGTTGTGTCATCTGCATAACGCAGATTGCTGACAGATCTTCCACCAATCCTGACACATTTCTCATCATAGAGCTCAGCTTCCCAGATAATTTGTTTTGCGTACAGGTTGAAAAGGTATGGAGATAGGACGCATCCCTGGCGTATGCCCTTCCCAATTTCGAACCATGCAGTGTTCCCTTGTTCTGCTCTGACGACTGCCTCCAGGTCCAAGTATAGGTTTCGCATTAGAACGATCAAGTGTCAGCCACAGTTTGTTATGATCCACACAGTCAAACGCCTTTGCATAGTCAATGAAACACAGATAAGGCATTCCTCTGGTATTCTCTGCTTTCAGCTAAGATCCATCTAACATCAGCTACAATATCCCTAGTACCACGACCCCCTTCTAAACCCAGCCTGGACTTCTGGCAGTTCTCTGCTAATGTGCTGTTCCAGTCATTTTTGGATAATTTTCAGCAGGATCTTGCTTGCATGTGAAATCAATGGTTGTAGGAGGCTGTTTATAATCTTGAAAGGAAGTTTCCAAGGTATATTAAATATTCATGGACTGCTAAGAGAATAAACAGATCTGTCCTGGAGAGGGTCAAAACAGGCTGCTTCTTGGAGGCAAGGGTTATGAAACTCCAACTCACATTCCTTGGGCATGTTGTCAGGAGGAGGGACCAGTCCATGGAGACAAACATCATGGTCGGAAGGCTGGAGGCACAGCACAGGAAAGGAAGACCCTGGATGAGATGGATTGACTCAGTGACTGGGGTAATGGAGGTGGGTGTTTCAGAGACATTGTAATTGGCTCAAGATAGAGCAGAGTTTCAGAGCTGTTTTACACAAGGTCACTATGAGTCACAGGCGACTCAACAGCATATAACAGTGACTCAACAGCATATAACAACAACAATAAGGAAGTTGCTATGGTGGTGGGTAAGAGGACAGATGGTAGATTTAGAAAGGAACAAAGGATGAGGAATTAAAGATTAGGAGAGAACACAGTAGTTGCAGGGAATGAAAAGTGTACTGGAAACTTTCTGGGAGACACAGAACATTCAGTGACAACAGTATATTTAGTAAATACTTGCAGTAGTTATAGGAAACTAGCTTTCAATATTCAATCCATTTACTTCCAGTTTCTTGATACTGAGAAGTTTAGAAATCTAAAAATAAAATTCTCAGAGAACTAAGATTATGGTTACAACTTCAATTTTTGTCTGTTAGATGTTCTCATTAAAGTCTAAACGGTATGGGGAAGCCTCTGTGAAAATCGATGTTTAGCAATGTATGTTCACATGAACACATTCAGCAATAGCACAGGAAACCCCAATATTGACTAGTTTTGTTGGTGCTGAGAGGCAAGATGGAGGGTGTTTTATTCTAGTGTAGATCTGGCACATGCATTAGAACTCGAGCTAACAGATTCAGTAGTGGCTCCTTAACTGCTAAAGGAATGTTATCAGGAGGTAGCTTCTTATCCTTAAATCACAACTAATGGAATTAAGTTCCAGGGGGCTAATCACTCTGGTGGGCACTTCTGAATTCCTCACCTTCAGGAATGTGGTGGTGCCACCTATGAGCAAGTTTCCTGGAGATGGTACTGGGAAATCACTTCAGGAAGGCTCACCTACCTTATGCTCATTTAGATCGTACTTTTTTTTTTCTTGTTGTGTATAATCTAGTCAGATCTGACTGGCACAGGAGGAGATTGCCCTCCTTCTCCAGCAGAGCATCTAGTGGATTCGAACCACACGCCTTCAGGATTGCAGTGCAGCTTCTTGCCACTAGGCCACTAGAGCTCCCTTTTACCATATTTTTTAAAGTATGTTATAATCCTCTGTATTGCACCCTTTGTGCGTAAAATGGCAAATGGATTGTGCTATCTGTAGGTAAACCCTGACTGATACAGTGGTTTTATATAATCCTTCCTCAGATTTTTCTAGTATAAAGGCTCCCCAAAACTAGTTTAACAAATCTCAGAGTCTGGTAAATATATCATTTTGAGGGTGCAACTCCTAGAAATTCAACTTAACTCTCGTGGTATTTCAGAACCTAATTTTTTAAGAGGTAGTTCTTGCTTTCAAAGAGTTTACAGTTCCTTCCAATATTTCTAGTATCTTTTCCTTTTGGATGGGTTCTTCAGTACGCTCTTTCAAGTCTCACTGCTTTCCTTCAAGGCATTTTCCTATCTCTTTTGACTACTAAATGCCCATTCTACTCCCTAACCTACCAGTGTGTACAAAAACTCCTATGTTAACTACCCATCAAGCACTCTGAAATCAGTTTCTTTACGCCCCCCCCCGCCCCGATTTAGGATTTATTTCAGTTCTAACAACCTTCCAAACTCCCCTTCTGCTGTACACAAACAAAAGCACAGTCTAATCTCACTTTCAGAAACAGTCTGTGTGCAAAGGCTCTCCATTATCTACAAGCTCTTTTCACACTGTCACTACTCAAACTCAAAAACTCACTTCCACCAAGTTGAATCCAACTCACAGCAAACTCCCGTTGAGTCTCCCAGGTTATAAATCTTATAAAACTTAACAGCAGGAGCAAGCTCATCTTCTTCTGGAGGAGCCACTCAGGGACCTGAAACATTGGGGATGTACCTCTTTTTTTTTTTTTAAATGTCCTCCATAGTCACCCATTTTGTGTAATATTTCATGAGTTCCTTGTTTTTCAATGCTGCATAGTATTCCATTGTGTGAACATACCAGAGCTTCTCTATCCTTTTGTTTTTGATGTGCACTTGGGTTGTTTCCAACTCTTTCCTACTGTAAGCAAAGCAATAAATACAGGTGTGCATATATCTGCTAGGGTGGCAAGCAGAAATGCGTATGTCCCTAGTAGTGGAACTGGTGAGTCAAATGATATTTCTATTTCCTGCTTTTTGAGAAAGCACCATACTGCCTTCGATAGCAGTTGCACCATTTTACACTCCCACCAACAGTGAATAAAGGATTCCAGTTTCTCAACAACCTTGCCAGCATTTGTTGTTTGCTGCTCTGTTGAATTTTGCTATTGTTACTGGGCTGAGTTGATCTCTCATGGTTGTTTTGATTTGCATCTCTTTTAGAGCTAGGGATTTTGAACATTTCTTCATGTGTTTGTTGGCTAGCTGAACGTCTTCTTTGGTGAAGTGACTGATCATATCCTGTGCCCATTTTGCAATTGGGTTGTTTACCTTTATTTTGTTGTGGTATTCGAGTATTCTATAAATTCTAGATATATAAGTCTCTTATCAGACATGTCATTACCATGTATTTTCCCCAGTCTATGGCTTTCCTTTTTACCATGTTGGAGAAGTTTTTGGATGTGTATATGGCTTTGATTCTTAGAAGGTCCTATTCATATCCTCTATTTATCCTCTCCTGGTTGTAGGTTTTTGTGGTTTTTTTTTTTTTGAGATAACCTTTTGGTTAACTATAGCACACGCTACAGACTACCACACCTGGGCTCCTGTTACTTTTGTTGTTGTTACGTGTCGCTGAGTTAAGTGAATCATTGCAACCCAGAGAGCAAACCATCTGAGCCTGCCCCATCTTATACCATCATCACCATCTCCGACTCACTTGAGGCCATTTACAACATGAAACCATCATGCTGAGGGTGTTCCTCTCCGATGCTGACCCTCCACCTTGCCGAGCACTATGTCCTTTAAGGACTGGCTTCTTCGAACAACTTGGCCAAAGTATGTGACATGAAGTTTCACCATTCTTGCTTCCAAGCAGCACCCTAGTCACAATTTCCAAGATAGTCTTGTTTCTTCTTTTGGAAGTCTGTGAAATATTCAGCACCACAACTCAAAGGTATAGATGATTCTTCCTGTCATCCTTATTCACTGTCCAACTTTCAGATGCACAGCAAGTAACCGAAGACACCATGGCTTTGATTACATACACCTTAATGTTTAAGTTGGCACCACTGCTTGTCAGCACTTGGGCAAGGTCCCTGACAGCAGATTTTCCCAATGCACTGTCTTTTGATTTCTTGACTCCTCATCCTCATACCAAAAGTGTTGATTGTGGATCCAAGTAAGAAGAAATTGATGACAACTTCAACTACTACCTAACTCATACAATAGTGTTAATCATACCTTGAGTGCCCTAACTCAGCTTTTTTACTGTCTATCTTCTGATTTCATTTGTCTTGTCCCCCAAAGTCAACCTTGGTCAGAGGTCTAAGCCTTTCAATAAATATTTGTGGGATGAAATTAAACAGCAGTGGTGTTCTCATTAGAACAGCTCAGCTCATTTTGCAGTTCATAGCTTAGGATCAGGGCTCTGGTGGCCCAGTGAATAAAGGCTTATGCTGGTAAAGGCATAAGTTTGTGTGCACCAGCTGCTCTGAAGGAGGAAAATAGGCAATCCAATCTTTTCCCATGTAATCTGCTATCTCTGAAAATGTACAGGAGGGTCAGCTATTGGTCATTTCTGACTCCATGGCACATAACAGCAACAATAGCCTAGTGCAGACCACTACTGAAGCTTTTCTTTACTACCATTTCCAAATTACCATGAAAGTATGAAATATTTGTGGCAGAGAACAACTAATAGAGCTTCTTTATGTAACACAACACATGCTTTTCAAAATGGCACTTCATGTGAATTATTAGACTTGTTTATATGACTGGCAAAATGTGGCACTGTAGTACAAGACATTCTCATTTTTGTGAGAATCAAAGCAGAAAATAAACATGAATAGAAGGTACTTTGTATTAACTCAATTATCTTAAAAATAATATATTTATGAATCTAAATAATGTTATAAAATAAGCCATAAAAGCTTCACCTGAAACGCCTCCCACGCTGCTGGTTCATTTTTGCTCGAGGAGCCACACCGTCAACAGCCATAAAGAATACTTTCCTAGGTTTAATTATGCGAAACAAAACTTCCAAGTAGTGAAAAATATCACTAAAGATCTTATCATCTGAAATCCTGAAATGAACATCATCATCATTAGGATGGGAGCACTGATGTATAATTCCATTCATATCCAGGTACAAATTGTCAAATTCAGGAATCTAAAGAACAAAGGAAAATGCTCAAGATTAATCATCATCATCAACCTGAGATCGCTCATATCTTAGCAGCAAGTGGACATGATCATTCAAGGACAAAGTGGAATACAAGGCATTGTTTCAAAAGAAATTAACAATCATAGATGAATTAAGATTAAACATAGAAAAAAAAAGATTAAGCATAGAAAAAAACAACCATAAGTATTGGTAGTATGGAGACAGTTCAAGTGATCTGATGATCAGTGGGGTCTGACCAAATTCACTGACAGGTAATTACCTATTTACAGGAAACTCTTGTTGTTGTTGTTGATTGTCATTGAGATCCTACTATCTGAAAAGGCTTCAAAAGGTAATAGATTATCTCTTTATATCAAAAGGCTGTTTGTACATGATCACTGAAAACACCTTAGAAATAATTTAAAGACTTATTGGATATTGATATCAGTGTATGCCAGTAATTTAGAAAACAATGGAATTACTTCCCCATTTTTGAAACTTTATTAAGTAAGTTCTAAACCATGACTAATAGGTATTTTGTTGTTAGGTGACATGAAGTTTATTTCAACTCACAGAGCCTCCATATGAGAGAGCTGAACTAGCTGGTTATTTTCTAGGGTGTAACTTGGATTTTAATGTTGGGGAAGTATTGAATACACACAATGAATGACTAAGGATTTCGCAAATCTGTTGTGGAAAAACAGCCAGCGTGCTATTAAAAAGTAGACTGTGTGCCTTTTTATTAATGATTGTAATGGATTTAGCTCTTACTTTCTTGCAGATCTTTATTCTACGCAGATGTCTGTAAACAAGTACAGGAAACAATATAGAAAAAAATATTTGTTCCTCATTCATGAAGAACTAAAATGGACACCACTTAATAGTCTTAACACTTGTGTTATTAAAGAATTTAAAAGTTAGAAAGTTTGCAGGTTTTTGTTTTTTAATTTTATTTTCTTTTATTAATTATGAACCTGGAGAGAGGATGAAAAATGCCCAAAGCATTTAAGACTCTCCTCCATAGGGTCACTATGAGTTGCATGTGACTCGACTACACTTAACAACAATAACATCAACACAGAGAGAGATCAGCTGGCCCAGTGGACAGAAAGCGTTCCTACCAAGCCAAAGGTGGGTGACTTTTAATCCACGGCCCTTGGGCAGTCCTTCATTGTTTTTGTTCAGACATTACTCCAGGTTATAAAGCCCTGGTGTACACACTGCATCAAGGTCACTTGTGGTTGCTGTGAGGCTGAACACTGTGACACTGATGTGTCAAATGCGTTAATGGCTGGCTACCCAATGTGGACAGAGAGTGGGGTGGAGCTCCC